TCAAGTGATTCTCCTGCCTCAGCCTCTCGAGTAGCTGGGATTACAGGCATGCGCCACAACGCCCAGCTAATTTTGTATTTTTAGCAGAGATGGGGTTTCTTCATGTTGGTCAGGCTGGTCTCAAACTCCTGACCTCAGGTGATCTGCCTGCCTCGGCCTCCCAAAGTGCTGAGATTACAGGTGTGAGCCACTGTGCCTGGCGGATTTTCTTAACATAGATTATGAGGCATACAATATTGGGCTAGAAAGAAAATGAGAGGTGACGGAGGGACTTGGGAAGTTATAATAATTTTACAATGAATAACAGTCTTTTTTCTGGTAAAAGATTTATTTCTTCCTTCAGCAAGATGTCCATATCAGTTTGTCTGGGCTTCTGCTCCAAAATGGCCTCCCTCAGGATCTAGGCTGAAGGAGCAGCCTCCACGGGGCATTTGCCAGTTATCACAGCCCAGAGAAGCAGGGCAGTGAATTGAGCCCAGGCTCTCAAAGCCTTCACCTGGAAGTGGCACATTTCCCTTCAGCTCAAATGTCACTGGCCAAAGGATGGACACACTCAACTGTAAGGAAACAGATAAGTAAAGTCCTACCATGCATTTGACAGGATTGTAGAATAGCTCCAATAGACCACATGTGACTCCTTCCTCTTTGCCTCTCTCTGGCAACAGCCTGCAGTAGAAGTGCAATACATGTTAGGTGACTGCCTGCCTGATTGTGGAGCTTAGCAAGTGACTGGAACAAAATGGAATCAAAGCCGGAAAACTATGTCTCCTCTTTCTCCTCCCCTTTTGGCACCTCTTTGCTTCTGCCAGGATTCTGACTCTGAAATTGATTATCTGAGTGATCCTGGACCATCATTTAGCTACTCTAAGCCTCAGTTCCTACAGTCGGAAAGGGGGGACATTATTACTCCTATGTAAAGATAGAGTAAGATGGCATCTCTGAAAGCCAGGGTTGATTAAGGCTTGTGCCTCTGGCTGTTGCCCAGTGCCCGCTCTGGGGACCTTGAGTGCCCATTGCCATATGCTGAGCTACCCTACTGGGGCCTGCTGTCCTCAGGCAAGGTCCTATATGAATAAAAGTCTTTGTGAGAATCTATCTTAAAGGTTCAGGCATTGGTTATGTGTGTGTGTGTGTGTGTGTGTGTGTGTGTGTGT